AATTTAGTGATAAATATGATATTATTATTATTAATGTTTTATTTGTAGTAATAGAACTGTTTGAAATGTTGATTAAATTTGACTGTAAGAAATAAACAATATTAAATGTAAATATCTAATGTGTGTGGGTGCGGTATGGGTGCAGGTGCATGTGTATAATGTTTTCATATGAAATATTTAATATTTTTAAGAAAAATGCAATGTTTAATTCATTGAACTTCATTTAATATTGACTTAAGCTTACATATCAATAATATTGATGAAATATATTTTGCTGTTTTTCTCAAAAATGCATTTTCTACATTTAAAATTTAGATCATTATTGAGGGATTATATACATATGTGTGTGTGTGTGATGATATGTATGTTTTGTGTTTTTCATTTATTTTATTAAAAATTAAATTTTTAAAATATCATCATATCATATTCTATATAAATTTATTATTAAATCTGAAAACATTAAAAAATTTTAAAAATAATAATATAACTGCTTTATAATACATTTTATACATTTTTTTAGAATTATAAAATAAATTAAAAGTCTTTTATTTACTTCAATTAGTACTCTTTTATCTAACTGATTAATCTAACAAGCTATCATAAATTCTTATTTCCTCGTTATATGCCTTTCCTCTGTCATTTTTATTTTTATAAAATTTTATAATTTTATTTTTCATTTTGTTAGTCACAAATTTTATTAAAATATGATTTTTTTTAACTTACAAGTTAAAAGAATATATATATATATATATATATATTATTTTCGTGAATTATAAGCCCATTTGACTGCATTTTGAATTTTCTAGGTAGGGAAGAATGGTAAATCGCATTAATTTTCAAACGACGTATTCGGGATAGCAGATTTAAGTCTTGTTCTTACGGACGTGTTTTTAAATATTTAAATTGTCACTTTTTGTGTTGAAATTTTATAAACTCCACATAATTACTTTGTTAATCTATTGTTATCGAAGGTAACATTACCACCAATGTGGAGATATTAAGCAAATTAATTGCTGTTATCAACCATATCGTTCCTAGTATTGGTAAATGTGTGATAAACTTATGTTTTTCTCAATTTAATTTCATAGCATTAATAAGTAAATAAGTGATCAGTTTATCATTAAAAAGAGCGAATTAAAATTTCGAATTAAAATTAGAAATTTCCATTCTTGTAACTAATTAAAAATGTTTTAAAATACGTATTAATGTCACTAGTCTCTATATGAGACACAGCAGGATAATGAAAATTGGTGCTCACTCTATTTAGGATCGATCACCATAAAAATCTCTGACTTAAAACATTCAAAATCGTTATTCTAATGTCTGATCCTTTTCTCATAGATACTATACTGGACAACCATCTTCATTTCTTCCACTTCCGTTAGAGGAAAAGATAGTTATAGATTAGTAATTTTATTTCCATTCGACTCCTCCTATTACTACTACTACGACTACTACTATTACTATTAAAACAATTTATATTGTTACATAATATTTTCTTTCTATGTTCGTATCTATTGTTTAAAGCATAATTTTCTAATATTGTAGACTTTCCTCCTAATATTATGAGAGTAAAGTTACTTTTAATAAAACGAAATAATAAGTAAAAACCGAAGTAAATTACAGAAATTTTTCGGTGATTTTTAATTAATCAATACTTTTATTTTTTGTGATTTTGCCAATATGAATGTTTTAATTTCGTATAGTTTTGATATTTTTGATATACAAGTTATTGCAATATCATAAAAAACTTGCTAAACACCAACAGCCAATGTTTACACTCGAGTGTTATTCCCTACTTTCAAGTGTTGTCTTTAGATATTAATAAAGTTTGTAATAAATCCATCTTCTTCGTCTTCGAGATTAGAGTAGCCCAAAATACGAGTTAGCACAGAGGGGTAAATACGTGAGATCGTTCTACTGTGTATTTTTGGTGCTGTCCATGATGAAATTGTGGCTTATTAGGAAATTTTGAAGAAGATGTACACTGTCCAATATAGTTTTTCTGAGATCAGTTTATCTCAAATGGAGAAATACAAAAGCCGGGAGCAACCTTCGTCTAGCATCGACAAAACAGTTGGCAGAAATATCTCATTCTATAGAATAAAGATATTGATGAAACTTTCTATAATAGCTGCATTTTTATTTTTTTGTTTTTTAAAAATTGCTTTATGTTACAGTTTGCAATTGATCGTATTTTTAATCATTATTATTATTTTTAACTATTATGCTTGGTAGATAATAAAATAATTGGAAAAGAACTATATTTAGTTATTTACACTCAGTCATCCACACTCAATTTTATTAAAATATACATGATTTTTACATTTATAATCATGTATATTTTGATAAAATTCAATGTAACTGGCTGAACAGTTTTTTAGGTTTATTACTTTCTAGTATCATTTTCATAGTATTCAAATTTTGTTTTAAGTTATTAAAAATTACACTAGAAATATTATTCGACAGTATTTGAATTTAGAACTATAAGAGCAAAAATGAAAATAAAAACAATATATTGTGTAATAAGTATTGTTTTAATAATAATCGAAGACAAATAGNGATAAATATGATATTATTATTATTAATGTTTTATTTGTAGTAATAGAACTGTTTGAAATGTTGATTAAATTTGACTGTAAGAAATAAACAATATTAAATGTAAATATCTAATGTGTGTGGGTGCGGTATGGGTGCAGGTGCATGTGTATAATGTTTTCATATGAAATATTTAATATTTTTAAGAAAAATGCAATGTTTAATTCATTGAACTTCATTTAATATTGACTTAAGCTTACATATCAATAATATTGATGAAATATATTTTGCTGTTTTTCTCAAAAATGCATTTTCTACATTTAAAATTTAGATCATTATTGAGGGATTATATACATATGTGTGTGTGTGTGATGATATGTATGTTTTGTGTTTTTCATTTATTTTATTAAAAATTAAATTTTTAAAATATCATCATATCATATTCTATATAAATTTATTATTAAATCTGAAAACATTAAAAAATTTTAAAAATAATAATATAACTGCTTTATAATACATTTTATACATTTTTTTAGAATTATAAAATAAATTAAAAGTCTTTTATTTACTTCAATTAGTACTCTTTTATCTAACTGATTAATCTAACAAGCTATCATAAATTCTTATTTCCTCGTTATATGCCTTTCCTCTGTCATTTTTATTTTTATAAAATTTTATAATTTTATTTTTCATTTTGTTAGTCACAAATTTTATTAAAATATGATTTTTTTTAACTTACAAGTTAAAAGAATATATATATATATATATATATATTATTTTCGTGAATTATAAGCCCATTTGACTGCATTTTGAATTTTCTAGGTAGGGAAGAATGGTAAATCGCATTAATTTTCAAACGACGTATTCGGGATAGCAGATTTAAGTCTTGTTCTTACGGACGTGTTTTTAAATATTTAAATTGTCACTTTTTGTGTTGAAATTTTATAAACTCCACATAATTACTTTGTTAATCTATTGTTATCGAAGGTAACATTACCACCAATGTGGAGATATTAAGCAAATTAATTGCTGTTATCAACCATATCGTTCCTAGTATTGGTAAATGTGTGATAAACTTATGTTTTTCTCAATTTAATTTCATAGCATTAATAAGTAAATAAGTGATCAGTTTATCATTAAAAAGAGCGAATTAAAATTTCGAATTAAAATTAGAAATTTCCATTCTTGTAACTAATTAAAAATGTTTTAAAATACGTATTAATGTCACTAGTCTCTATATGAGACACAGCAGGATAATGAAAATTGGTGCTCACTCTATTTAGGATCGATCACCATAAAAATCTCTGACTTAAAACATTCAAAATCGTTATTCTAATGTCTGATCCTTTTCTCATAGATACTATACTGGACAACCATCTTCATTTCTTCCACTTCCGTTAGAGGAAAAGATAGTTATANAGCATTTTCCTCCAAGAGCGAATCATTATCACACAATGTTGTATCAACTCTTCTCTTGAGATTATCGCGCCAACACCTTCGACAGTCGAGACACTCCCCATTATATAGTTATATATATTAAGCCATAAAAACTTATGGATAGATAACAAAATGAATTTTTAATAGTATGGCATTTATTTACACAAAGATATTTGTGTAAATAAATGCCATACATAACACAAAGATATTTGTGTAAATAAATATTCCAAAATATTTTTAAAAATTAACTTCAATAAAAGTATGTTATTCACTGATTTTTTTAATAAAAATATTTCTTTGTTTCATTAAAACAAGAGTTTTATCAACGATTAATATAAAAAAATAAATNTATATATCTTAAAAAATATTGATTAATTGATAAAACTTTAAATATACGTTTATTTAAATTTTATCGATTAATCAAATATTCTCTTAAAAATCAAATTATTTCTTAGTATAATGTATCGTTTTAGTAGGTGTATTTTTCTGTTGGAAAATAATAAAAATGCTACAACTTCAGTAATCAACATAAGACATTTATTTTCTATTTAAGTACTCCCTGTAACTTTATTTTTATAAGTTAATGGGATCATAAGATAAAAATGCTTAAAAGAATGATGTAAATTGTATCATTGTTAAATAAACAGTAGTTTTATAAGTTCAGTTGGTCATTGGAGGCGTGAAACATGTTTTAAAGTGTTCCAATCAAAAATGAAAATTAGGAAATAAGTAAAGTTAAGATAAAGTTAATTAAAGTTCCAGATGGAAAAAAGTATAACTTATATTATTAAACTTCTTCATGGTTGTCTGTTTAAGTTATCGTAGAAATTATTATTGAAAGTTTAATTTAAAATGTTTTATAGTACAGTACAGTTGTCCCTCTATAGTCCGACGTTTTTTAATCCGACATGCTCAGTAGTCCGACGCACCTCCCGTCAAGGTACCTGTCCCCGTTACGTGTCTGCTTGCACAGAAGCATGTCGCGATGTGAATCTCCCCATCCAATTCTTACTCAATGACATACATTTCGTGTGTTTTATGTGAGCAGTTCTGTTCGAACAGTTGGAGTAGAGAATATTGTAAGTTACTGCTAGCAAAACAATGCAAAATATGTAATTATTTTCGGTAATCCGGACACTTTTGGTAATCTGACACACCTTTGGTCCGATACCTGTCGGATTATCAAGGGACAACTGTATTTAGAATTTTAATTTCAGTAATAGAGAATTTATGTCCTATTCTCTGTCTAATGTTAATTTTATCTCTAATATATGTTGAATTATATATAATAAAATATTTTTATAGTTTTTTTCCACTTGAATTTTCAGAAATGCTTGTTTTAATGTAATCATACTATTTGTTTAAACCTGTTATTCACTATGTATATGTTATTTAAAGAATATAAATCCATTAAAAAACATTTTTATGATAATTATAATTTATAGAAATAAAATATTACAGTTCTAGCTGTTTAAAAAAATACTTTTAAAGATAATGTAAAATAATAATGGACGACCTAATTTATATTTTTATTTTATTTAGATGTGTGTTGTGACAGTATTAAAATACGCTGTTATCAAAACACTTGCAACAGGTGTTAATTATCTGAAAACACTCAGACAAATGCACATTATGTTCACATGACGTTTAACTGTTTTGTATTATTCATTTTAAGAAGTAATCTTTTATTAAATTAGACTAATTTTTAATAAAAGAAATTTTAATGTATTATAAACTAGTATCCTGAAATATAAAATATGGAAGAAATAATTTCTGGCATTAAATATTTTAACTAAAACAATAACTACATCACATAATATACAAATACTTTTTATAGCTTAATATTAACATTATCAAATGAAATTGTGGTAAAATCAGGTAAAATTATCAGATAAAAATAATGGTTTTGAAATAATTCTGTTCAATCTCTATGAAACTACAGTAGAGAATCGATTATCCAAAACAATTTGGACTGAGATTGTTCGGATTACTGATTTTTTGGATAACTGATCATTTACAAAAAATATATTAAGCACAAAACTGCACTGTATATAATTTGTATCACATGTCTTACAAATACATATCTTACATCAGCGTTTCTCAAAGTGGGCGATAATGCCCCCTTGTGGGCGCTGGAGGCTTTCAGGGGGGCAGGAGAAGGCTCAAAGAGAATTGGGGGCGTTAAGGAAATATAGAGGGGCAACGGCAGACAAATTCTATATATAAAAATTCGACGAAATATATATAAAATGTTGACATTTTATATNTGTAGTAATTCATACATTGTTGTTTGTCATCTTTAAGAACAGCTAGCATATAAATCAAGTAAGAAATACCAGTAATTTAAACTATTGTACTGCAAACAAATAACAATTAAAATGATTAATATTTGATGCTTAAAGCATCAGTTAAGACTGATAATGATTGCTCATTAGCAACCATGCATTAAGACTGATAGCATGAAAAGCAAGCTTAAAAATACCCATTTATTTGAATGTAAGAATAACCATCTTAATCAACCTCAGCAAGATAATTCAAAATAAATCAACAAACACCTTTCAGGTTGCTAGGATTTGCTTTTATTTAACAAATGTTTTCTAACTAGTCTAATAGGCCATCTTCAGGCTAATGATCTTTCTTGAAACATTTAACTGTTAAATATTGTTCCAAAATAGAACACAAAAAAGAATAACTATGTTTAAATATTTGAATATAAAGCCAAAAAAGTAAAAAATTAATACAAATAATGAATAACAGTAAAATGTAAAATAAATAACTCAAAAAATATAGTAGAAATGAGGTAATTATGACCTTCTAACAAACTTATTCTGTATAATGTATTTCCATGTTGTTGCTAAGCTGTCAGCATCTCTTGCATTAAAGCACTCGTCTTTCAACTTACTTTTGTATATTTCAATTTTTCGACATTCTGTGCCAATGTAGGGGAGTGTACAGACTTAATGTTGTTTGCATCTTTCCATTTTATCACTGAGCCATTTGTCTGTGCATCCTGGAGAGTACCGTGTTATTGTATCCCTTTCTTACATTTTATTGATGTTCTTTAAGTCTAATTTTCAAGTTCTTTGTGGTGACATCAATGTATAATAACTATAATTAGATTTGATTACAATAAGCTAAGTTTTTATGATATATTTTTACTTATCTTTTTGTTGTTTTTAATTGAATATTCTCTCATTGTTATTATGGTGTGTTTGCTTTAGAATAAGATTATTTATCATTAAATTAATCTATATTGTCTGCAACCATTCATAGTTGTGTGTATATGATAAATTAATATTTTAGTGGATAGTTTTATAAAGTTTTTCCCTCAAAGAAAATGATACTTAAACATATAAAAAATCTAATAATAATATAGCATATAAGCATGAAAGCAATAGAATTAAAGTGAGTTATTGGGTTGCAATTTGAAAAAATTGTAGACCTATAAATTCCCATTGTCATCTGTCAGTCTGTTCTTTCTTAAATCTCTAGAACAGAGATAGATGAAAGTCAAGACCAGGAATGGAAAGATTAGTGGCTGGAGATCCCAATTAACTATATATGAACTTCCGGTTTGAACTGGAAGTCATATTATTTCGATTCAAAAATTTTTCCCTGAAAGAAGTTAGATAGATGACCCCTACCTGACTCCATTGCTAACAGGAAAAGTATGGTGTACAGTGGCAAGACACTACTAATTTGAGATGGAGAGCATATATTTTAAATTAAATAAATTAAAAATTGCAGCCCTGCATTGTGATGATGTCACAATAAATAATTGTTTGTTTAAGATATTGGTTTTGTAAATATCTGTGCAATGATTATCAACAATCATTTCTGATGCTGCCACTTAAATCTTATTGAACTATTGACAGAAGTTCAGTATTGTAGTGTTAGTGGAGTATATTATAATTATTATTATTATTGTTGTTGTTATTTATTTTTTAAGTTACTTAAATCTTTGAACATTTTTTAAGGCTTTATAATTCTCATCAAGTTTGATATAATTTTGAAACTTTAAATTAGAAAAAATGAAAAAATAAAAAGAACAAAATTAAATCAACTTACAAAAAATATTATTATTATAAATTGAAAAATAAAAATAGAAAACACAAGCTCATTTAAAAAGAAAATATTATAAATTGCTAGATATTCTTGAAATACAGGAATTTATAGCTAATCTTTCATCTTCCAAGTTATGTGTTTAACTACTTTGTTATTTCTCCATTTCAAAAGATTGGAAGACTGATTTCATCATATTTATTAAAATTAGTAAGTTAAAATTTTAAATGCCATACTTTTTTGTTGGCCTTCTCTATGCAAAATTATGTAGTTAAAATTGTATTCCTGGGAACATATGGCACTGAACATATGGAAAACATGATAACTTACTTTACAACAGATTATTTAACAACTGTTTTCCAGGAACCGTTTAGATCATAAAAATACATTTATATAAATTATGCGATATTTAATGTTTATCAATGAAATAGATGATTCTGTAATTAAGATATAATTAAGAAATGAATCTCATTTTGAATATTAAAAATTATTTATTTTGACATTGTCACAATGCCATGTTGCAATTTTTAATCATTTTTTAATTTAAAAATTCTCCTATTACCTATATGTGAACTTCCAGTCTGGACCAGAAGTTCACATATAGTTAATCAGGGCTTCTGGTCTCTAAGCTTTCCTTATCTGGTCTTGATTTCCATCTATCTAACTCTGTTCTTGAGATTAATGAAGGGCAGACAGATGACATTTTTATTTGTATTTATTATTGTTATTGGGCTTCAATTTTCAAATTGCAGCCCAATAACAATAATAAATACAAATAAAAATGTCATCTGTCTGCCCTTCATTAATCTCAAGAACAGAGTTAGATAGATGGAAATCAAGACCAGATAAGGAAAGCTTAGAGACCAGAAGCCCTGATTAACTATATGTGAACTTCTGGTCCAGACTGGAAGTTCACATATAGGTAATAGGAGAATTTTTAAATTAAAAAATGATTAAAAATTGCAACATGGCATTGTGACAATGTCAAAATAAATAATTTTTAATATTCAAAATGAGATTCATTTCTTAATTATATCTTAATTACAGAATCATCTATTTCATTGATAAACATTAAATATCGCATAATTTATATAAATGTATTTTTATGATCTAAACGGTTCCTGGAAAACAGTTGTTAAATAATCTGTTGTAAAGTAAGTTATCATGTTTTCCATATGTTCAGTGCCATATGTTCCCAGGAATACAATTTTAACTACATAATTTTGCATAGAGAAGGCCAACAAAAAAGTATGGCATTTAAAATTTTAACTTACTAATTTTAATAAATATGATGAAATCAGTCTTCCAATCTTTTGAAATGGAGAAATAACAAAGTAGTTAAACACATAACTTGGAAGATGAAAGATTAGCTATAAATTCCTGTATTTCAAGAATATCTAGCAATTTATAATATTTTCTTTTTAAATGAGCTTGTGTTTTCTATTTTTATTTTTCAATTTATAATAATAATATTTTTTGTAAGTTGATTTAATTTTGTTCTTTTTATTTTTTCATTTTTTCTAATTTAAAGTTTCAAAATTATATCAAACTTGATGAGAATTATAAAGCCTTAAAAAATGTTCAAAGATTTAAGTAACTTAAAAAATAAATAACAACAACAATAATAATAATAATTATAATATACTCCACTAACACTACAATACTGAACTTCTGTCAATAGTTCAATAAGATTTAAGTGGCAGCATCAGAAATGATTGTTGATAATCATTGCACAGATATTTACAAAACCAATATCTTAAACAAACAATTATTTATTGTGACATCATCACAATGCAGGGCTGCAATTTTTAATTTATTTAATTTAAAATATATGCTCTCCATCTCAAATTAGTAGTGTCTTGCCACTGTACACCATACTTTTCCTGTTAGCAATGGAGTCAGGTAGGGGTCATCTATCTAACTTCTTTCAGGGAAAAATTTTTGAATCGAAATAATATGACTTCCAGTTCAAACCGGAAGTTCATATATAGTTAATTGGGATCTCCAGCCACTAATC